CTCAAACTCTCACACTTAGAATTGTTAAACTGCACTTAGCAATACAACCGGATACATCATTACATCAACCAGCAACCCAAAGATGAAATCCAGCAAAAACCCACTGATCAACAACCAACTACAACAAAATTCACAACCATAAACCTACTTGCAAAGTAAACCTTGTTCTTAGTCGTTAACAAAAAACCTCCCAAATCCCCCACCCAACACATTGACTTTTCTTGTGAATTAATCACTCCAAAACAATAATAAATAAAAGAGGATTTTAGATTCACAAAGTTGTCCAGGAGAAAATAAATTTTAGATTCCACACCCACTTGATGAATACTTAATAGAAAGGAGTACAAATTAAAAAACAAAAAAGAGAGAGAATAATGAAAGAGAAACCTTGAGAGGATGAAGACCGGCTTTGAGATCGAGGGCAATGTGTATCTGGCATTTAGTCTCAATCACACTTCCACGCTTTTACATATAAAAACCCTTAAACTTTTCCCTTTTTTTCTTGCTGGCAATTGATACCAGCTATGAAATTGAAAAGTATAAAGAGAGTCCAATAAAGGAACAGAAATACCAATTGACTAAAGTTACAAACTATACAAATAATAACAATCACATTCTCACCAAAAATGGATTATATTATTAAATTCTCTCTTTTGACATTAGAAGGTTATCGCAAAACATCTCGATACATGGAAACAATATTTACTAAATTAGCAAAACTTGACTATCATTGTACACCTCATCTGTCAATGTGCAAACTAATGTTCATACTGCCATTATCCAGGCACCTTAATGGCCTGGACAATGATGAGGTGTACTAGATTGTGTCGTTCTTATGACACTTTGGCACATTGTGCTGTCCTAAGATGCTGGGTTATAATCTGATATCATCAACATATGCTTCATATCATCAGTTGTATCAGTATTTTCCTACACACATATTTAACACAACTCATTTATATAAAAAATATAAAAATAAAAACATCTTAGTATATAGTGTTTGGTTTAGTATTAAACACCTTAATATGAGCCCATATTATATCTTTGAGCATATTGGGCAGAAGCCTCCAATATTTATAATTGAATGCCGCTAAGATGCCATTGGTAATCACAGAGGAAGGTATCAACAGATTTGGTTTATTAAAGCAAATAAACTAATATATGGTGAAAATCATACTTTATTGGGTTTAACATCTTTTAATATGTTTTTGTCAGACAAATTGTATGACCTAATTCTTATGTGTATCCTAAATAATTAATATGAAAGATTATGAAAAAATCTAGATTTGTAATCGAGTATACTAACCTCGTGTCAGCACGACATATTCCTAGTAAAGGAATATTCAGAAAGCAGTCGCAAAAGTGAGCTTAACCGCATTCAAAAACAACACCCAGATGTGGCTTCATTTGCATCCCAAAATAGTAGCAAATGATGTTTCACTGGCAAAAGTGCTAACAAATCATAGTCGTTTAAGTTGCTTGTTTTTTGTACGAAGTTAAATTTCATATTAAATTTAAAAGGAACATAAATTTCAAATACCTTTCAGCAGTTTTTTGGAGGGGAAATTTTCATTTCCGCCTTACATTTGTTGTAGGAATCATTGCCTTTGGTTGTTATCTGTGGGTGCTCTTGTTTCTCTAGGGCAACGTGTTCAAATCTTCGTTTACTTCCTTCCGCAACATCCTTGATGGTGGCTGGCATTTGTGAGATACCCAAATTACTTTTGTCCATGAAAGACAAAATAACTAACTTTCCTGCCTCATTGTTTCTTGTAAACAGCTTTTTTATTTGAATCTTGAAGATCTTGCCAATCAGTAGCTTTTGCGCGTTCACAAGAAGCAATAATTCTTTCTGTAAAGATAAAATTAGTTATTCAGAGGGGGCTCAACTTATAGAAAATAGTTGTTTCTGGTTTTTGAAAATTAACAATGTACCTTGACATTGCAGATATCATAAATCTCTTCCGAAGTGAGAAGCAATATTTTTTCTACAGGCTCGTCTGAAATAGTTGCTATTGTAGAACCACTCTGATCTGTAAGCGTCAGTTCAAATTGACACCTAGTTGTAAGATAAAAAGATTGGTTAATTAAAAGATGGTGAATATATAATGTTAAATATAAACAGTTATGTGGAAGTTGCATGTATACCTGGGAACTAACTGAGTAGCTCGATGGCAATTAGTGCAATAGAACTTTCTCCGTGAGATAGCTCGTGTGAAGTGTTGTTTGCAGTCTGAACAAGCTAGGATACAAAATCGTTGATTCTTATTTTGTAGTGTGACTTCAGCCTGTATGTAGAATATTTGGCCCTGAAAAATATAAAGATGTCGTATATTAATTTTTTGTTATTAGAAAATAAAGGTAAAAATTTGTAACATTACATATGTGAATATTTAGTGTACTTACTGGATCTTGCTGTCGAATTTCTGTAATTGGTACTATCTCTTCTTCGAAAGGAACATATAAAAGAGAGCCTGTTGGACCTGTGTTCTTCATTGTGTACGCAATAAGCATTTGTTGATTTTGTTGGGCCCTTTAAGAATGTTAACATTTCAAAATTACTTCTTTTATACGTTCAAGCACATATATGACCAATAATGTATTGATTGCAATACCATGTTCTCAGCGCATTTGCTTGTGGGTATGGAGGATTGATTTCAATTGTTGTACTGAATCTGTTAGTCAATCCTGCATGCATTTGAACATTCAGTTCTAATTTGATCGTCTGGTATATGGAAAACTAAAATATAATTGCGTATATACTTTACCTGTATTGAATTTGTTAGTCCATCTTGCAGGCATTTGAGGTGTTTTACTTGACGACGACTTTGGTCTTCCAATTTTTCTAGCAAGGATGATTGGGTATTCTTCTTTAAGCAGTTCGAGTAGTTTGTTCCCTCCATGATCAATAAAATCTTCCCAGAGTGTGAATTTCGTTAGTTTTTTCCTGTATAAAATAGAACGAAATTGTTAAAGCACTATATTAAATCAATACGGGAATGTTAATGCTTAGGCAACACAAATGAGCATCAATTGGAAGCTTTAACTGTAAGACGTATTTAAAAAATGAACACATATTGATATCTTAATGTGTAGGAATTTCAATAATGTAATTACTTTCGAAGAAAATAGGTATTCCTTAAGCTCTTCACTATTGATTCTTAACAAAAGCTTTTAAAGATAATACTTTGAAATATGAGATGTTCTCGAAGTGCTGATAAGTCTCAGATCTCAAATAGATGGCAGAATTGCTTCATTACACTTTAAAGATATTGATGTTTGCAAAAAGATAAATGGATATAATTTACAACTTACTGTAGCAATGATCCGATTAGTTCCAACATAAAGATGTTTTGAATAAGTTCTGATATTGCGATATAATTGTATTATACAAGGGAAGAATATCTAATAGAGATGTTCTTAACATTGATATGCTGCTCTCTTCTATTAGATCTTTGTGCATTGGTAATAGTTGCACATTTGAAATACAATAATTTGTAAGCACATTTCTGATGTACAAAATTTTAGCATTTAACAAGCTACGACTGAGTGAATACTTTGAATAAAAATTTTATAGTCTACTTATTAGTTTTTGTAAGTGCAGAATCAAAAAAAATATAGTGCAGAAATAAAATATATGTGCAGAAACTGAAATTTAAGTGCAGAATCAAGAAAAACATAGTACAGAAAATGAAAAATATGTGCAGAAACTGAAATTTAAGAGCAGAATCAAGAAAAATATAATGCAGAAAATGAAAAATATGCGCAAAATCTGAAATTTAAATGCAGAATCAAGAAAAAGTTAGTGCAAGATCTATGCAGAATCTGAAACATAAGTGCACTATCTAGATAATTATAGTGCATGAATTGAAATATATGCAGAAACTCAAAAATATGCACAGAATACAGAAAAAAGTGCAGATTGCAATAAATTATGGTGCATAAGCTAAAAATTAAGTGATAAATGGAGAAAACTAATTACAGAAATACCAAATGTCAAAAGTTGAAACATGTAAATAATTAAAGTCTGAAAACTTCATAATTGAGTCATACGAAATGAACTTAAGTCGCTTAGTAGTCATCACATTACAAAATGAACTTGCGTCATTCCAACAAAATAAACACAGTGGAAATGATTGTCACGTCTATGATGCTATGCAACTTGGTTGTGATATTAATTTGAGAAAGGGGAATATGAACAAAACTAATGGAAAAGCAAGTTCAAGTTATGTGTTCACTACATATTGGAATGTTGTGAGTAAAAGGAATGCTTTGAAAATTAGTACTTTAGTGCAATTGTGAGCATTTAGAAAGGGATCGGAATTATGTTTTACACCGGTCAAACTCCAAGACTTAACGTAAATAGGTAATAGGAGTGACTTTTATCAGTATATAATATTAGCATATTTAGATCATTCTTTTACTTTGAAAAGTTGTGCAGTATTAGATTTTTCTCTTCGCTAATAACAGCAAGAGATCTAATATTCCAACCCACAACCAACTCAGCAAGTCTTCGCATCACTTACCAAACGGATGAAGTTTTGTTTCTTCATTTCTTCTCTAGGAAGAGCAATTGATTTTAAGATGCAAGAGTTGGAATAGGTGATTGCTGCTGATTACAAGCTTTATTTTCTCTTTTGTTTCGAATGAAGTCGGACAATTTTTCTTTCTACCATTTTTGTGTTGCTTTTCACAGCTTTTCAACTTTAAAGTTCTAACCTTTTTGTAATTTCTCCATAAAAAACTAACACTCTTATCTTTTGTTTTAATTCCAGACAACAAAAGACTTTTCAAATTCAAGTCAGAATCACAGAAATCAAAGGTACTTGAGATTAGGACAAGATGAAGAGACTGATGTCACACCTCCTTTTTACGCACCCGCGAGGGTGCCAGGGAGTTTTTCCAATTAAAGGACAATCGAAAGAGGATTTATTTGTTTATTTCAGAGTCGCCACTTGGGAGATTTAGGGTGTCCCAATTCACCAATTTTAATCCCGAATCGAGGAAAAGAATGATTCTATATTACAGTCTGCGTACCAGAAATCCAGATAAGGAATTCTGTTAACCCGGGAGAAGGTGTTAGGCATTCCCGAGTTCCGTGGTTCTAGCACGGTCGCTCAACTGTTATATTTGGCTTATTTATCTGATTTTTGTACAAATGTGAACTTATGTGCAAATTTTATCTTTTAACCGCTTTTATCATTATCTTTTACGAGAATTGCAACGTCGTGAAGATATATCTCGAACCACATTACATCAATGCACCCGTGGTTATTGACATATCTCGACTCGGTTGAGATTTGGATTTGGGTCACATAGATGTGCACCCGAATTAAGAAAAATAAATTATTAAGACGCGCCTAAAGCAACTAACGTAGTGTTATTTTGGGGAAGGCCGCAAAATTCGTTAAACGGCCTGTCCCGAATTCTAAGTATTTTAATATATATACATTCGGAGGGCCCCGCAGCTTGTGCATTTTTATTTGTCGAGGCTCGTCTCATTCATTATTTTTACAAGGAATTTGCAACGTCATGGAAATGCATCTCAAACCACGCCACAATCAATATCCGTGATTAGAGACACATTTCGATTTCGTTGAGATTTGGATTTGGGTCACATAAATGTGCACCCGAGTTTAGGGAGATAACATTATTAAATACGCGCCTAAAGCGACTAGCGTATCATTGTTTTGGGTAGGGCCGTGAAATTTGCTAAACGGCCTGTCCCGAATTCTAAGCATTTAATACATACGTTTAGCGAGGGCCCCGACATTTATGTATTTATCCAGCGAGGCTCATCTCACTTAATTAAAAGGATAATCTTAGCACGACTATAATTTTCTACTTTATTCATCTCTAAAATGACGGAGAGCAAAAGATCCTAGCCCCATTTCATACTTAAAGTATTTGTAGTCGAACCCCAAACAAGAGATAAAATTTATGAGTTTTCCAAATACAAAAGCACGTGTGGGCTTGGGTCCAACGCATATGGTATTACACTTGACTTGGCTGTCCTTATTCCGATATTAGCCTAACTGCTTGTTCTTATGCCAATTCGTGAGTTTGCAAACTGGAAGATAAAATAATACTATTTCCTTTAACAGTCTATTGTAAGTTTAAAATAGGCTAATCTGTTGTCATGAAAGGACTTTAAGATCAAGCTTTAGTCCTGATTCGAACCATTTGGTATACTGAGATTAGACTATTACGACAGTTAGAAGTCCATTTACTTGATTCAAGTCTAACATGCATCTTCACAAACGTCATGAAATAAGCAGGATGATTTCTAGCCTCATATCCCTCTAAGGACTTACCTAGGGAGTTCATAAGCTAACTATACAGTTCGATGGAAAGAGATTACATATTATTGATACACAAAATGGTTTAAGTACAATCGGCAGAAAGACTAAATTCAGTTTATAACTTCAACTTCTTCATGTGTGTGTTCATGCTTCAAATGTCAACTTCAAACATGGAATTACATCGACTTAGTATGTGTACCTGGGTTCAGATAACCAAACAAAAGAAAAGGAAGGATGTCAGCAGCAAGCAACCAAGCAGCAGTCACAGCAGTAACAGACAGCAACAACACAGCAACAAACAACCAGCCACAAGTGTCACCAACAGTCCACAGACAGCCAACAATAGTTTCCACAACAAGGAAAACCAATAGGTGGTAGAGCCCCAAACAAACACTCCCAGACACAGTGTAATAAGATGCGGCCAAGAAAACCAGAATGTTCAATACAGTAGCAGCAGAAAATCAATACACTCCCAGACACAGTGTAATAAGACACAGTGTTCAATAAGTTCAATAAGTTTGAATGTTCAATACACTCCCAGACACAGTGTAATAAGATGCGGCCAAGAAAACCAACAAGTTTGGCTTCCCACTATTACCTTATTTTAATCCTAATCCAGTACCCCATTTGTCAGCTCATTTAAACTAATCATTTCTGTTCTTTTTTATACCCAAACTACCCTTGTTAAGCCTTGATTATTACTGTCCTAAACCATTGCAGCATCAGGGCCTTTTGAACTTCTGAAAGTTCAAATTCAAGACTGCCCTAGCCTGATTCTTTTAATTGTTTACAAAGCAGTTAC